CAAGACCCAACCGTGTGCTATATCCAGGAAACCCATCTCACATGCAAACACACACATAGGCCACAAATAAAGGGATGGAAGAAGAGTTACCAAGCAAATAGAGAGCAAAAAAAAAAAAGCAGGAGTTGCAATCCTAGTCTATGATAAAATACACTTTACATAAACAAAGATCAAAAGAGACAAAGAAGGGCATTACATATTGGTAAAAGGATCAATGCAACAAGAAGAGCTAACAATCCTAAATATATACACACCCAATACTGGAGCACCCAGATACATAAAGCAAGTTCTTAATGACCTACAAAGACACTTAGACTCCCACACAATAATAATGGGAGACTTTAACACTCCACTCTCAATATTAGACAGATTAACGAGACAGAAAATTAACAAGGATATCCAGAACTTGAACTCAGATCTGGACCAAGCAAACTTAGAGACATATACAGAACTCTCCACCCCAAATCCACAGAATATACATTCTTCTCTGCACCACATCACACCTACTCTAAAATTGAACACAGAATTGGAAGTAAATCACTCCTCAGCAAATGCAAAAGAACAGAAATCATAACAAATCGTCTCTTGGACCACAGTGCAATCAAATTAGAACTCAGGATTAAGAAACTAACTCAGAATGGCACAACTTCATGGAAACAGAACAACTGGCTCTTGAATGCTGACTGGAAAAAAAATGAAATGAAGGCAGAAATAAAGGTGTTCTGTGAAACCAATGAGAATGAAGACACAATGTACCGGAATCTCTGGGACACATTTAAAGCAGTGCCTAGAGGAAAATGTATAGCAATAAATGCCCACATGAGACGCAAGGAAAAATCTAAAATCGCCACCCTATCATCAAAATTGAAAGAGCTAGAAGAGGAAGATGAAAAAAAATCAAAAGCAAGCAGAAGATAAGAAATAACTAAGAATAGAGAAGAACTGAAGGAGATGGAGACGCAAAAAACCCTTCAAAAAAAAATCAATAAATCCACAGGATCTGTTTGTTTAAAAGATCAACAAAATAGACCACTAGTCAGATTAATAAAAAAGAAAAGAGCAAAGAATCAAATAGATGCAACAAAAAAAAAATAAAGGGGATATCACCACAGACTCCACAGAAATGCAAACTACAATTAGAGATTACTACAAACAACTCTATGCACATAAACCAGTAAACCTGGAAGAAATGGATAAATTACTGGACACTTGTGCCCTCCCAAGCCTAAACCAGGAAGAAGTCAAAACCCTGAATAGATCAATAAGAAGGACTGAAGTTGAGGCAGCAATTAATAGCCTACCAACCAAAAAAAGCCCAGGTCCAGATGGGTTCACAGCTGAATCCTACCAGACATACAAAGAGAAGCTGGTACCACTCCTTCTGAAACTATTCCAAAGAACACAAAAAAGAGGGAATCCTTCCCAGATCATTTTATGAGACCAACATCATCCTGATACCAAAACCCGGCAGAGACTCAACAAGAAAAGAAAACTTCAGGCCAATATCCATAATGAACATAGATGCGAAAATCTTCAATAAAATACTGGCAAACCGATTGCAACGGCACATCAAAAAGCTTATCCATCACTATCAAGCAGGCTTCATCCCAGGGATGCAAGGCTGGTTCAACATACGCAAGTCTATAAACGTAATCCACCAAATAAACCAAACCAAAGACAAAAACCACGATTATCTCAATAGATGCACAGAAGGCCTTTGACAGAATTCAGCAGGCTTTTATGCTAAAAACTCTCAACAAATTAGGTATCAACAGAACGTATCTCAAAATAATAAAAGCTATTTACAGGCCAGGCGCAGTGGCTCATGCCTGTAATCCCAGCACTTTAGGAGGCCGAGGCGGGTGGATCACGAGGTCGAGAGATCGAGACCATCCTGGCTGACACAGTGAAACCCCGTCTCAAAAAAAAAAGCTATTTACGACAAATCCACAGCTAATATCATACTGAATTGGCAAAAACTGGAAGCATTCCCTTTGAAATCTGGCACTAGACAAGGATGCCCTCTCTCACTACTCCTATTCAATATAGTATTGGAAGTTCTATCCAGAGCAATTAGGCAAGAAAAAAAAATAAAGTGTATTCAGTTAGGAAAGGAGGAAGCCAAATTGTTTCTATTTTCAGATGACATGATTGTATATTTAGAAGATCCCACTGTCTCAGCTCAAAATCTCCTGAAACTGATAAGCAACTTCAGCAAAGTCTCAGGATACAAAATCAATGTGCAGAAATCATAAGCATTCCTATACACCAATAACGGACTTAGAGAGAGACAAATCAAGAACAACTGCCATTCACAATTGCTACAAAGAGAATAAAATACCTAGGAATACAATTAACAAAGGATGTAAAGGACTTCTTCAAGGAGAACTACAAACTACAACGAAATAAGAGAGGACACAAACAGAAGGAAAAAGACTCCATGTTCATGGTTAGGAAGAACAAATATTGTGAAAATGATCATACTGCCCAACGTAATTTATAGATTCAACCCTATCCCCATCAAGCTACCTATGACCCTCTTCACAGAACTGGAGAAAAACATCTTAAACGTCATATGTAATCAAATGAGAGCCCACATAGCCAAGACAAGTTTAAGCAAAAAGGACAAAGCTGGAGGTATCATGCTACCTGACTTCAAAATATATTACAAGGCTATAGTAATCAAAACAGCATGGTACTGGTACCAAAACAGAGATACAGACCAATGGAACAGAGCAGAGGCCTCAGAGGCAACATCACACATCCAAAACCATCTGATCTTTGACAAACCTGACAAAAACAAGCAATGGGGAAAGGATTCCCTGTTTAATAAACGGTGTTGGGAAAACTGGCTACCCATGTGCAGAAAGCAGCAACTGAACCCCTTTCTGACACCTTACACTAAAATTAACTCCAGATGCATCAAAGACTTAAGGCCTAACACCATAAAAACCCTAGAAGAAAACCTAGGCAAAATCATTCAGGACATAGGCATAGGCAAGGACTTCATGACTGAAACACCAAAAGCACTGGCAACAAAAGCCAAAATAGATAAATGGAATCCAATTAAACTCCAGAGCTTCTGCACAGCGAAAGAAACAATCATTAGAGTGAACCAGCAACCAACAGAATGGGAAAAAATTATTGCAATCTACCCATCTGACAAAGGGCTAATATCCAGAATGTATAAAGAACTAAAACAGATTTACAAGAAAAAAAACAAACCCATTCAAAAGTGGGCAAAGGACATGAACAGACACTTTTCAAAAGAATACATTTAAAAGGCCAAAAAACATATGAAAAAATGCACATCATCACTGGTCATTAGAAAAATGCAAATCAAAACCTCATTGAGATACCATCTCATGCCAGTTAGAATGGTGTTCATTAAAAAATCTGGAGACAATAGATGTTGGAGAGGATGTGGAGAAATTGAACATTTTACACTGTTGGTGAGAGTGTAAATTAGTTCAACCATTGTGGAAGACAGTGTGGCAATTCCTCAAGGACCTAGAAATAGGAATTCCATTTGACCCAGCAATCCCACTACTGGGTATATATTCAAAAGATTATAAATCATTCTATTGTAAAGACACATGAACACATATGTTCACTGCGGCACTGTATACAATAGCAAAGACCTGGAACCAACCCAAAAGCCCATCAATGATAGACTGGACAAGGAGAAGGTGGCACATATACACCATGGAATACTATGTAGCCATAAAGGATGAGTTCGTATCCTTTGTAGGGACATGGATCAAATCTGGAAACCATCATTCTCAGCAAACTGACACAAGAACAGAAAAACGAACACCATAAGTTCTCACTCATAGGCCTCTATTGAACAATGAGAACACATGGACACAGGGAGGGGAGCATCACACACTGGGGTCTGTTGTGGGGGATAAGGGAGGGACAGTGCAGGGTAGGGATGTTGGGAAGGGATAACATGGGGAGAAATGCCAGATATAGGTGACGCTGGGGGGATGGAGGCAGCAAACCACACTGTACCTATGCAACAATCCTGCCTGTTTTGCACATGTACCCCAGAACCTAAAGTGAAATAAAACATATACATTTTGTTAAATGTACATTTTCTACTCTGTGGTTTCATATAAATTACTCTATAACACTCCTACCCAATAGCATTCTTTTAGAAATGAAAAAAATTCTATATTTCTGGTTAACTATGTACTTTGCTATGCTACTACCCCTGGTAACCTCTTATTTGTACTACTGCCTGTGACACAAATATTTCTTTTTCTTTTATAATTTACTTTTTTCTCATCTAGCACAACTCTTTATATTCTTCAGGAAAAATGCTAAGCTTTGCAAAGAACAAGTCATTCTTTGGAAACTACCAAAATAGTTCATTGTTTTAAGCAAAGAGCATCAATATATGCTCAAATTAATAGGTGAAAGTTTGATGTACACTAATAAAATGAAAAAAATTACAATTAACATGTAGCTTCTTGATTAGCATCCCAAAACTTTAAGTATTATTTTATCATCCCAATAATAAAATAATATATATTTATAGGTAAAATGTGTAGACTTACATTAAATGAACATAACTATCTCATCTGTGAAATGAGACTATTATTGCCTAACAGTAGATACAAAGATTAATTAGATCAAGTGTTCTATGCTGTTAATATAGAAACTGACAGAGTGCTTAATAAATAAATAGTGAGGATTATGAATAGCATATTCAAAATCCAAATAAGAGTGATTCTGCTTCAGTTTGGCACTGCTTTTGTTCTATATCTATGTGGAGTAGTTTTAAAAAATCATCTTAATCCTGAAAGTAGTTAACTCCATCCTCCTATATACCAAAAGGACCAATCATTACAAGTACACAAATAAATCTCTTTATACCACTGAATGATTTTATAAATAAAACACACAAAAAAAAACCAGTAACATCCTTGACATAACGAATCATCAAAGGAATAACAAAGACATTTTGAAATAAAAATGAACGTTTTTAAACTTACTGACTGACTAAATCAGATCCCATCTTAGAGCCATCATCTGCCTCCTCTTCCATATCAGAGTCCATTCCATTGTCACCTTACAAATGAAAGAAACTATTGAAATGACACTTTTTAAAAAGTTACAATGGTATAATCATTACATTAAAAGAATCATCTTTAAAAGTGATGAAGATTAAATAACTTTATACTGGGTCAAAATTTACATTTTTAATTGCTTGTATTTAAAACACTTTTTTCAATGCCTTATGTATTTCTCATTGCCTTCTTTTTATCTATTATATAAATGTATACCGACAAGAAATGTGTGCCTATATACTTAAACACTACATACATATGTATGTATCTATTTCCAGAGTTACAAAATTCCAACAAACAATTTTATATTTAAAAATAAGCTACCTGGCCAGGCGCAGTGGCTCAAGCCTATAACCCTAGCACCTTGGGAGGCCAAGATGGACAGATTACCTGAGGTTAGGAGTTGGAGACCAGCCTGGCCAACACGGCAAAACCCCGTCTCTACTAAAAATACAAAAAAACATTAGGAGGACACTGTGGCATGTGCCAGTAGTCCTAGCTACTTGGAAGACTGACGCTGGAGAATCGCTGAAACCTGGGAGGCAGAGGTTGCAGTGAGCTGAGATTGCACAACTGCACTCCAGCCTGGGTGACAGAGTAAGACTCAGGCTCAAAAAAAAAACAATGAAACTATCTCTGGGAACTTCATGAAAGGCTCCAATTTTTGTTTCTTCTTCTGTTGTGTGAATGCTAAAATCTTTGCAAAGTTCCAAAAGAAAAAATAAATGGCCAAAAGTCTCAAATTCTAGAGGTGTGAGTATCACAATGAGTAGTCATACTTCAGGCAGACAAACAAATATTGATAAATTGCATGGAAGTATTCTAACTCCAAACTTGGGTCTTATTAGAGAATAAACAGTATGCAGTAGTAACTAAACAATGTAAAAAAATCTAAAAAAGAAAATCAAAAATATTTTAAGGAAAATCTTCACCTTTTCAATAATTAATTTTTTAACAGATCTTTGGTAAACATTTTTTACTTCATTTTCTTACACTCTTATCCATGTACACCTGATTTGGAAAAACTACATATTAAGTGTATTCTTGAACTGCTATTCTCATATGTAAACCATACAAATAGAAGTAAAAATACTCTTCAATGATAACTCAACAATAAAATTAAAGTAACATCCAAGTAGGAGAAAGATTACCTCAGGATTTATGGTGAACACAGTATTAACTAATAAGTTACCAGAATGTAAAAATATATATTCTTACCCTCAAGAATCTTCAAAATTTTTTTTTCAGACAGGAGCTCTAACTGTTCCTGGCATAGTTTTTTAATTTCTTCTATTGAACAGTTCTAAAGGAAATGACATTTTTAAAAATGCATTTATGTAACACAGCCCCACTGTAAACTGGAAAATTTCAGTCACAAAAATTTAAGTTAGCAAAATCTTACAATAAAATAAATTAAAGCCTCAACTAGATTCAAATACATCTTTTCCTGGGATGAAATATGAAAAACTGCCAGTTAATATGGGAATATTATAGATTTGATGGTAATACATAAAGCTGTATTTATTATCAAAGAACATAAAGAGAGTCAGTTTCCCAGCTATTCTTAATAGCAGCCTATTCGTGTTAGGTAATTATTCTAAAGGCTTAAATATTCAAGTCTTGTATCTTTAGATATATGATCTCGAGCTTAACTTGAGTGTGCAAGGTCTATTTCTACAACTATAAAATTAGAAAAACAAATATTTCCCTAATTTTCAAAAATAATTACATAAAAATACTTGTGAATCTAATGAAATATAAGGTATTATCAACCATTGTTTATTGTTACTGAGCAGCATACTGTGACATTATTTCTTAAAAGCACCAGAAAGATTATATGTCCAATTTAGTTATTCCCATTCCCCGTACTTAACAGAATAATCTCCACAGGGTCAACAAATTTCTTGCCTAAACATTTTTTCTTGGCAAATTTTTAAATAAACAAGGCTGGATATGATTCTCCATTTTACAAAATATTTTCAAGTAACTTGTTTCAGATACAAACATCCAATTAAAAACTGCATTAAGGCCGGGTGAGGTGGCTCACAGCTATAATCCCAGCACTTTGGGAACCCAAGGTGGGCAGATCACAAGGTCAGCAGTCGAGACCAGTCTGGACAACATGGTGAAACCCTGTCTCTACTAAAAATACAAAAATTAGCCAGGGATGGTGATGCACACCTATAGTCCTAGCTACTCAGGAGGCTGAGGCAGGAGAATTGCTTGAACTCAGGAGGCAGAAATTGCAGTGAGCTGAAATTGCACCAGTGCACTCCAGCCTGGACAAGAGAATAAGACTCTATCTCAAAAAAAACACGCATTAAGTAAAACAAACAATTGCTACAAAGAAAGTTGTATTTCTACATATGTATATAGTCTGATGTGTAATGAAATACCTTTAACACATCCGGAAGCATCTTCTGTAACTTCTTCTCTCCTATGATACAGAAGCACTGCTGAAGCATTTCTTTTTTGTCTGATATATAGAAACTAACTGGTTTCAATGAGACAGTCAGGTCCAGTCCACCTTCTTCCAGGTCACTGTGCTCTGCCAAGAATAATTCTTTCTCCAAAGTTGGCAAAATATATTTGCTTTCCTAAAGTTAAAATAAAGAAACATTAAATACTACTACTTAAAATATGAAGAATATATATGACATCATTTTCATTTAATAAATTATACTTCATCAAAAATTCTCAAATACTTTGCACAATTATTTATCTAAAACCACAGGAGAAAATATTTAATTGTTCAATATTCTTTGATTTTCCTCTCCAAACTGCAATTAACTCAAGCAGTAGCTATAAAGGGAAGAGATATTTAGGATGCACAAACAAAAGTATACTAAATATTGAATAATTTCTTAAAGTTTTAAATTTTTTAAAAATTAGGATATTCCCCTAACAGGCCATTCACCCAAAAGTTCTACATATGCATTATCACTGTACTTAAATCCATAAATAGATTGAAGTAAAAAAGTTACAAATCACAACTATTATGCAGTAAATTAATATACTTACCAGGAGCTATCTTTTTAAAATTTACATAATCATAATGAAAGTAACCAATTTCAGTAATTTAAGATATTTCTGTCCATTTTACTCTCTCCCAACTCTATCCAGTCCCTCCAAATCTATTCCATCATTCTGTTCCAAACTACTACAATGTTTTGCCTAGGTTACACCAATAGCCATTAAATGGGACTCTCTGAATCTAATCTGAGGTTTCTTTGTTTTGTATACTGTTAGCAGAATGGATCATATAAAATGTATATGTGTGCATCCTTCCCATTGCTCTTAAGGTAATATGGCCTACATGGCCTTCATGCTCATTCTTGTGTTCAGGACACAATCTTCTTTGAATTACTGAACTGTAACCTATTCTTCTTTCAGCTCATACAGGCAGGGCTTCTGCATACCATTTTTCTAGGGACAGTCTTTCCTCTCTCCTTTCTCTATCATACTTACAAGATTAACAAATTCAGATAATTCAGACAATTCAACAGTCATTTTCTCTGGAAAATCTTCCCTGATCACAGAGGTCAGAGAGTTGTTTACAAAGCAGTTTTAAAATGGGTCAATCTTAAAGAATACTATAATAATTAGACTGAAAAAGTAAAAGAATTAGTACTTGTTCTCAACGGCTTACAATGTAACGATGCAGAGAAACTGGAATCCTCATACACTGTCAGCAGGAGTATAAAATTGTGCAGCTACTTTGGAAGATAATTTGGCAGTTCCTCAAAGAGTTACCATATGACCCAGCAATTCCATTTCTAAATATACACTCAAGAGAAAGGTAATGATACATCCACACAAAAACTTGTTCTTAACAGCATTACTCATAATAGCCAAAAGGCAGAAACAACACAAATGTCCATCAAGTGATAAATGGAAAAATGAAATGTGGTATAGTGGCACCTATGTACAGCTATACAAAAACAAAACAAAATGTGGTACAGCAGCCATAAAAAGGCATGGATCTCTGTGATTCAAAGGAATAAACTCAATGTGCTACAATATGGATGAACCTTAAAAACATTATGCTAAGTAAAACATGCTAGACACAAAACACCACATATGATTCCCATTCATATAAAATGTCCAGAACAGGGAAATGTATACATCTATAGAATTAAGAAATAAGTTAGTAGTTAAATAGCTATAGAGCACAGTAGGGGTGAGTATTGAGGATAATAGCTACAAGTAACACATAAGGTTGCTTTCTGGAGTGATGAACATAGTTTAAAACTGACAGTAGTGATGGTTGCACAACTCGGTGAATACACACAAAATCACTTAACTGTACATGTGAAGTGGGTAAACTGTATGGTATGTCAACTATATTTCAAAAAAATAGGGAACTCAATACACAACAGATACAATAGCACTCTAAAGTTTGAGATGTTATCTATATGCCTAATATGCAATGACCTTTTCTTCACAAATACACACATATTTCATTCAAAGATGGGTTTAATTCTATATGCAAATGTTTTCAATATTCAATTGACCAATGTTGTTGGTCTCCCTATCATAATGGAGTGTTAGAACTGTGGAAACTGGCTGGGCGAGGTGGCTCATGCCTGTAATCCCAGCACTTTGAGAGGCTGAGACAGGTGGATCACCTGAGGTCAGGAGTTCGAGACCAGCCTGGCCAACATAGTGAAACCCCATCTCTACTAAAAATACAAAAATTAGCCGGGTATGGTGGCAGGTACCTGTAGTCTCAGCTATTCAGGAGGCCGAGACAGGAGAATTACTTGAACCCAGGAGGTGGAAATTGAAGCGGGTTGAGACAGTGCCACTGCACTCCAGCCTGGGTGACACAATGAGACTCCATCTCAAAAAAAAAAAAGTAAACTATTTAAAATAAAAATGTGATATCCAAAATTGAATCTAGGTATGATAAAACTTAATAGATCTATATTAAATAATTTTTAAAGAGTTTTTTTAAAAATCACCCTAAAAAACTCCACTAGACCCATATATTTCTGACAAATACATGAGAAGAAAATATAAACCATTCTGAACACACCAAAAAGACAAAAAGCTTCCTAACTCAATCCACTACAAAAATAAAAACCACAGGTTGATCTAATTTAGAAACATTTACATCAAATTAAAAATAGGCTGATGGCAGTGGCTCACATCTGTAATCCCAGCATTTGGGGAGGGCGGATCCCGAGGTCAAGAGATTGAGACCATCCTGACCAACATGGTGAAACCACGTCTCTACTAAAAATACAAAAATTAGCTGGGTGTGATAGCATGCTCCTGTAGTCCCTGCTCCTCAGGAGGTGAGACAGGAGAACTGTTTAAACTTGGGAGGCGGCAGTTACTCCACTGCCCTACAGCCTGTCGACAGAGGAAGACTCCATTGCCGATGCGGTGGCTCATGCCTGTAATCTCAGCACTTTGGGAGGCCGAGGAGGGTGGATCACCCAAGGTAGGGAGTTCAAGATTAGACTGACCAACATGGAGAAATCCCATCTCTACTAAAAGTACAAAATTAGCCAGGCGTGGTGGCGCATGCCTGTAATCCCAGCTACTCGCGAGGCTTAGGCAGAACAGTCACTTGAATGCGGGAGGCGGAGGTTGTGGTGAGCCAAGATCGCGACATTACACTCTAGCTTAGGCAAAAAGTGCGAAACTCCGTCTCAAAATACAAAAAGAATAAAAGTAAAAATACTGAATTCCAGCCAAGTACAAGAAACTCAACAAACTAAAGAGAACTTTTCCCAAGACTCCAAAGACTGTTCAACATCAACTAATCTATCAATAAATTACATTACATGATTAAAGGGAGAAAAAGTATGTGATCATCTCAACAGAATGCCAGAAAACCACCTGATAAAACTCTAGAACCCTACTGAACTAGGAGTTGAAGAAAATTTTCCTAACCTGGTCAAAGACATTTCGAAACCTGTAACAAATAATTTCAAGCTAATAATAGAGTGGTTAGATACAAGAAAAATACAAAGCCCATGCTTCTTTAATTCCCAACTTTCAAATGTCATGTTGGCCGGGTGCGGTCGCTCATGCCTGCAATCCCAGCACTTTGGGAGGCCGAGGCAGGTGGATCATATCAGGAGTTCAAGACTGGCCTGACCAACAGAGTAAAACTTCATGTCTACTAAAAATGCAAAAAATTAGTAGGGCATGGTGGAGAACGCCTGTAGTCCCAGCTACTTGGGAGTCTGAGACAGGAGAATAGCTTGAAGCCCAGAAGCGGAGGTTGCAGTGAGCCTAGACTGCGCCACTGCACTCTAGCCTGGGCGACAGAGCCAGACTCCGTTTCAAAACAACAACAAAAAATAGAATGTTAAAAAATATGAGAATACAGAATAGTCTCATAATCTTGCAATAGGAAAGATCTTTCTAAACAACACATAAAATCCAGAAGGCTCAAGAAAATATTCGCTTTGACTACAAAAAAAAAAAAAAAAAAAATCAAAGGCAAATTAAAGAAAAAAAGACAAAAATTTTTTAAAAAATCAAAGACTTCAGTACACCCTGGACAAAGGTATAACAATATTTGCAATACACTCTACATAAAAATTAGAACCAAGGCTTTATGTGAAAATATTTGAAACTTATCAGTTAAAAGTTGAAACACTGAAGAGAAAAATGTGCAGAGGATATGTACAGGAAAATACATAAGAAGGAATCAAATGGCAACTAAAAATATAAAAATGTTCAATCTCACTAATCAGGAAAATAAAAATAAGTCTGGCAATTTTTAAAAAAATGGTTATCAAATGCTAGTTAAGAATTTCGGAAATAAGTATACTTATATATGTGTATTCTTATATGTATACTGTTTGGAATACAAATCTGTAATGTCCTATTTGGAAAGCATTTGGTGGCATTCACCAAGTATTCTCATAGCATAAGCCTTGACCCAGGAATCTGAGTGCTCACTCTCCCAATATAACTCTTGGTAGAAGATTATATAAACAAAGGTGTTTGTAATGTAGTCACAATAAAAAAAAAAAAAAAACCTGCAAACCTAAATAGCAGTAAAAATACAAAATACCAGGAAGTCACTAAAAGTAACAAACCACGTATAGAAAAAAACCTATCACAACAATGCAGGCATTCGACAGCGGGAATAACACTATAGCTTAAGTGTAGAAACTTAAATACATATATCTGACGAGAAGTAATGAAAAGAGGCCGCATATCAAAATATTAATGGAGGCAAGAAGACGCTTTCCCTTTATTTCCACACTGAATGAATTTAAAGTACATATTCATTCGTTTTGAAACAAATTATGAATTTTTTTCAAACGGTGTTATCTTGGCAGATTAGTAGCATATAAAAAACATGGCTTTTGTAGTCAGATATTTGGATTCAAATCTAGGAGCTATTAACAAACTCTGTGATCGTAAGTAAAGTGTCTTAACCTCTTTGGACTTCAATTTTCTCATCTGTAATGTAGAGTTAACCATATCTATGAAAAGGTGAAGACAAAGGGAGAAGTGCTTGGCTAGCAAGGGCAATGAAGGCTAGCTTCCAACTCATACTCTTCTGAGAGACTGAAACCATTGGAGTGGAAGGAGCCAAAGGTGAAAAAAAAAAAAAAAAGTCAAGTGATCAAGACATCCAGAAACTTGAAGTTCAAGATTCAATATATGGATGGGAGTGTGGAGCTCACCAGGACTTAGGAACATGAAACTCAAGCACCGACGATCTTGGGATCGCCGCGCTAGCAGTAAGCTCCAGCCGGCGCCCCATCCCTCTGGTAGCCCAGCTTCTTCCGAAAAAGCAGCAGCGCCGGGAAGCGGCGAGAGGGGCGCGCACGCACCTGCTGCAGAGAGCCCGAGACGCTAGAAGAAGAGTCGGTACTCCTCCGCTTCCGGCGCTCGCTGCGCTCCACGCTGCTCCCACCCCAGCAACTGCCGGCGCTCCCACCGCCGGTGACACTTCCACTGAAGCTGGCGTTCCCACAGCAGCTGACGCTCCCGCAGCCCCCGGCGCTCCCGCAGCCGCTAGTGCTTCCACTACCGCCGCTGGCCAAGGCGGGTATGAGGTCTGGGGCAGCGAGCGCCGCGGCCGCCTCCTGACTGCTACGTTTGCGCCGTTTCTCCCGGGAGGACTTTTTCCCCGTCATGATGGCTCTGCTGCGACCATCGGAGGAAAGCACGCCGTCTCGGGTGCGACCAAAGGCCGACTCCTGCAGCCGTGGGCTGCAGGCACTGGCGTCGCAGGTTATGCGTCACTTCCGACCGTGTCGCAGAACGTGATGAGGCGTTTTTGGAGGGTGTGCCAGAACCAGTTGCCCTTCCTCCTCCACTCGCGGCGGTCGGCTTGAGTGTGTAGTGAATAGCCCTTGTAGTCGGAGTTTGATTTGTTTTGTTTTTATACCTCTACAAAGGAGAGAGGGTCCTTTTAACTTCAAACGTTTTTAGTGTTTGTCAGTTTACAATAAGGTTGAAGTATGGTTGCTGATTCCCCATTTTCGTTTACCTCCAAATCTTAAGCTATTAACAACGCTGTAATAAAAAGAGAACTTAGGGAAAAGTTGCATCTCATTTTCGTCATCACCTGGGCAAATTACGTATTTCTGGCGTAGAGTCTAATATGGACAAGTAAAGAACTTGAGTTCGTTTTTGAAAATTGACAGTGGAACTGGCGTGGTGCCTCACACCTGTAATCCCAGCACTTGGAAGGCAAAGGCGGGTGGTTCACGAGGTCAGAAGATCGAGACCAGCTTGGCTAACACGGTGAAATCCTGTCTGTACTAAAAACAAAAAATTAGCCAGGCGTGGTGGCATACCCTGTAATCCTAGCTCCTGGGGAAGCTGAGGCAGGAGAATCCTTTGAACTTGGGAGGCGGAGGTTGTAGTGAGCCGAGATCATGTCACTGCACTCCAGCCTGGGTGACAGAATGAGCCTCTGTCTCAAAAATAAAATAAAATTGACAATGGTTCACATAGTTTACAGGTGGATGAAATCTAAACAGAAGAACGAGAACACTTAAAAAGTGAACCGCAGGGGCTTAGGGGAAAAAGGTAGAGCCTGGAGCAAAACTAGCTGGATGGTTGTAATTCTTTGCCCTTCCCTGGATTAAGAGGCAATTAAAGAAGCTTCCCTTCAATGTGTGTCCTATTTGTCTCAGTCATTCAACAATTACTTCACAAGTGCCTAAAACAAACCAGCCCAGGGTTAATAACCAGGAATACTTCTGGCCCTAGGAAAACTGTTTCCCCCAGGCCTCACTCTTAAATTAGCCTTCTAAGGTAGATGCTGGGATGAGCCCACTATGTTCATAGGAGTTCCATTAAGTATCACACTCATTAAGAATCATACCTGAAATGACTTGAGAGTATTGTATTCACAGATAGGAAAAATACATAAAATCAATAGTGTGTTGTATTTATAAACCTATTATGGAGTGAATTGTATCCCTGATACTATCCTTATAATTTTAATAAAACTAAATTGCTAATTTTTTTTTTCAAGACGGAGTTTTGTTCTTGTTGCCCAGGCTGGAGTGCAGTGGCGTGATCTCAACTCACCACAACCTCCACCTCCCAGGTTTAAGTGTTTTCTCCTGCCTCAGCCTCCCAAGTAGCTGGGATTAGAGGCATGCGCCACCACACCCAGCTAATTTTGTATTGGCTGGTCTCAAAGTGCCAACCTCAAAAGATCCACCCGCCTCAGCCTCCCAGAGTTCTGGAATTACCAGCGTGAGCCACCGCACCTGGCCAAATTGCTAGACTTTTAACAAAAGGTAAGCTTTCAATAGAAAACTATCTACAGATAGTACCTTTGTCTCGGTTAAGAAATCTCAGGTTTTCCATTTTGAGATATTTCCCAGATTCTGTACTCCAATGGTGTTATAGGACTTATTAAGAAGTTATTTTGGAACAGAACAGAGGCCTCAGAAATAACACTACACATCAAAAAAAAAAATTATTTTAAGCAGATAGAGAGGAAAAGGGGTCTTTGAGAAGTTTTTTTTTTCTTTTAAAGCAGCTCCAGAAATGTTTCTTGTCTAGCAAAAAAGCTGGGCTGACAAGCTTTGGTATACAAATGCAGGCCATTAGAAACTGGGTTTACTCAATATGGTGATTCCCCTTTTCTTCTTGTCCCCACATGTGCCTAGCCACATGGCCATCCCCACATATCCCCATGTGTGTAGAACATCATGGCACCCTCCATTTGCATATTAAAAGGCTAGGGTGGGAGGGTCAGATCTTTTGCAGGCTGTGTAAATGACATACCTGGTCAAACCAATTCCCTGGGCCCTTTGCAAATCAGACACCATCTCCTCTCGAACTCCTGATGTCATAATATAACTGGCTGTTGTCTGCTGCACCCGGAGTTCCCTCTTTCAGCTCTTCCCTCTGCCTCTGTATGAGGGAGCCTCTTCTTTATTGCCTATTATGTTCTCTGCTCCTTAAAACCACTCCATGTGTGTCTGTGTCATTTTATTTAAACCAGCAGGAGACAAAGGACTCTGGTGTTCCTCCAGTCCTTGGAGCCATATCAATGGGGTTACTGATGCTACTCAGTCCGAAGACCCTTCTGAGAAACTCACTCAGCACAAAAATGCACTTTCTACCTTTCATCCCCCGTGCCCTAACCGATCAGCAACCCTAGCTCCTCAGCCCCCTACCCACCAAATTTCCCTTAAAAACTCCTGTCCAAAACTTACTGGGAGGTAATTTGAAGTTCCCTCCCATCTTCTTGTTTGGCCGCTATACCATTATTAAACTCTTTCTCTGCTGCAACTCCTGCTGTTTCCATGTGTGGGTGTGTCACCATGTCGTGGGTAATAGAACCTGATGGTCCTATAATATCACCCACAAAATTCATATGTTGAATCCCTAACTCCAATGTGACTGAATTTGGAGACAGGATCTTTAAGGAGGTAATTAAGATTAAATGAGGTCAAAAGGGTGGGTCTCTAATCTAATATAACTGATGTCCTTACTAAAAGAAGAACCTGGTACAGTGGTGCATGCCTGCAGTGCAAGCTACTCAGAAGGCAAACTGGGGAGGACTGCTTGAGGCCAGAAATTCTGGGCTGTGGTGTGCTATACAGATCAGGTGTCTGCACTTAGTTCAGCATCAATATGGTGACCTTCTGGGAGTGGACCAGGGGTGAATTGGCCCAGGCCAAAAATGGAGCAGGTAAAAACTCCCGTGCTAGGCCAGGTGCAGTGGCTCACACCTGTAATCCTAGCGGTTTGAGAGGACGAGGCACAGATCACTTAAGGCCAGGAGTTCAAGATCAGCCTGGCCAACATGGTGAAACCCATCTCTATTGAAAATACAAAAATTAGCCAGAAATTGCTTGAACCCAGTAGGTGGAGGTTGCAGTGAGCTGAGATGGTGCCACCACACTCCAGCCTGGGCAATGGAGTGAGACTCCATCTCAAAAAACAAAACAAAATAAAAACAAAAGAAACAAAAACACCCATGCTGATTAGTAATGAGATCACAGCTGTAAAAAGCCACTGCATTCCATCCTGAACAATATAGCAAGACCAAGCCTCTAAAAAAAGAACAGAGACTGCCCTGTCTTCTCACCATGCACAGAGGAAAGGCCATGTGAAGACACAGTGAGAAGGTAGCCATCTACAAGCCAGGAAGAGAAGCCTCACCAGAAACCAACTTTGATGGCACATTGATCTTGGACCTTTAACCTCCTGAACTGAGAGAAAATACATTTCTGTTTAAGCCACCCAGTTTGTGACACTTTGTTATGGCAGTCTGAGCTAGCTAATATAGATCTAAAATGTTATGTGTGCCTGGATAGAGCTAGTTCTTTATTAATTCCTGGCTGCAAATTACTCTTATAAAATCCACTAAGAAGCTCCTGGGTTTCCACTTTGTTCTACAGCAACCTGTCAAACAGTGTTCGTATTTCTTCAGGAGGACCAAGAAAGCAAGGCACTCCTCACTAGATTGCTGAACGGTATTTATGAACTTGGCAGATGAATTAGTCTTTGTCTGCCCACTCACACACTTGTTCTAGGACACAAAAGCATTGTTCTACCACTGGTGATAGAGAAGGAGAGAAAATAGACAAAATCCATGCCTTCATAAGCATATTTTCTAGTGAGGTGAAACAATGAGAAAATACACAATAGGAAGTGCTTTCCTCCTCACTTTGGCACTTTGCATTCTTCTTACCCTGTTTTTCTTCAGCACCCTTAAACACCACCACACATATATTTATCTGTCTCCTTCCACTTGAATGTAAACTCCTGAAAAGCAAGGACTTTCTTTGCTTCTTTTTTTTTTTTTTTTTTTTTTTTTTTTTGAGATGGAATCTTTTCACCAGGCTGGTGTGCAGTGGCGCGATCTCTTCTCATTGCAACATCCACCTCCCGGGTTCAAGCGATTCTCCTGCCTCAGCCTCCCAAGTAGCTGGGACTACAGGCACACACCACCATGCCCAGCTAATTTTTTGAATTTTTAGTAGAGACAGGGTTTCACCATGTTAGCTAATATGGTCTTGATCTCTTGACCTCGTAATGTGCCCGCCTCAGCCTCCCAAAGTGCTGGGATTACAGGCATGATCCACCATGCCCAGCTTATTTGCTTCTTTATTCCCAATATCCCACTGTCCTTAATAAAATTTTGGCATAGTCCAGTCACAGTGGCCCAATCTGTAATACCAGTGGTTTTGGAGGCTGAGTTGGGTGGATCCCTTGAACTCAGGAGTTCAAGAACATCCTGAGCAACATAGCAAAACATCATCTCTACCAAAAATACAAAAAAAAAAAAAAAAACTAGATAGGCATGGTGGCACATGCCTGTAGTTCCAGCTACTCAGGAGGCTTAGGTGGAAGGATTACCTGAGCCTGGGAAGATAAGGCTGCAGTGAGCTGTGATTGCACACTGCACTCCAGTAGCGGGTACAGAGTGAGTAAAATTAATGACTAGAAACCAGTCCTGATAAATGACGTTGGTAGAAGGTTTGCAGTGCTCTAGCATCGCATGGCAGAGAGATTTAGCTGTAGGGACTTAGCTGCTACTGTGAAGTTCACAATCACGTGGGCTTTGGAACCATGGGTACAAATTGCTTTCTACATGGGGTTCTGCTGAATGGAAGACAGGGAAGGACTTTGACTCATGCTAAGAACATGCCGCAGAGACATCACAAGCCTGTTGAACCACATTAAATTGGCTTTTTACAGGCTGAAAATGGTTGAATGTTGATTGAAGCAGCAGAGAAAAAAAGAAAAAAAAAGTAGTTGAATATTGACAG